GCCGAAACGTCAGCTAGCGTTGTATTGTATTGTGTTTTTATGGAAGTAAATGTATGCTGTTTAAAAACCTCGCGATTGCTCAACAAGAAAACGACACATTCATATTCCAATGCTGAGGTTAAGAGAAAGTCGATCCTGGGAACTAAAGTACCACAGCTGAGTGGTTGTTGGAGCTCCAATGCTGGTGTTACCTACCGTGCTTATGCATCCATGTTATGAGGAGAGATGAAAGTGTCGTGGATTTCAACAATTTAGTTAAACTCACTTTTGGCGACACCGCAGTCTACGATCCAGAGAACAGGTGATCTCTACATTGTTGTGGAGGTAGTGCACTTTCTAGTAAAGAAATTCTGTACATTTTCCCGGATGAATTAAAACATTTCTACACTGACTGCCAGTACACAATTCTTCTCGTTTATGACTTATTGCATAGGAGGACCTATCTTATCTGCAACTGTAGAAAAAACAACGATGCTCGTGCAGGTCATCTTTCTGAAGAAAAAGAATGAAATGCACATCACCATCGTCGTTTTAAAATGGAAAGATGGCAAGGATTGATGATATCCATAGACCGTTACACCCCCAACCTGTTCTGGTCAGCTTGTACGCTAAATGGGAGTTACAATACTCCAAACCTTTCGCGGCAACGGCCATTTTCGCGTCATCTCCATCGAACTGCGTGTTATTTGAGAGGAGTTGGGATACACATTGAAATCTAGTTATGTAATCCGAAACGTACAACAGCGTTCATAATGAAATCAGAGCGCAACGTCATGAAAGTGTTAGTAGGTGACCACTTTCCTGTAGTGAAAGCTGTCCGTATTTGTCGAACTTCACTGTTAAAGTGCTGCAAAGACGCTCTCTGTACGTTTTTCACCTACCACTGTCACCGCAAAAAAAGACTAGTCCGGTAAAGTTTTCTTTTACGATTTTTCTAGAGAATAGCTCTTCATGAGCCATGTTTTAACAACAACATTTGCATTGATAAACCATTGGTTAAATACAAAACAAAAGTGAATAAACCACCTAGAAATAAATGCATGGAGAGCGATGTGCGAGATCGCCTTGTACATTGGTTTAAGTCAATACATCACGGTCGTTATGTGTTAATGAAGGTTTATCAATCTTTATGTGGTCATCCAAGATCCGAGTCATGTAGTAGTTAAGGCCTGTGTGCTCACTGGTTCAACGTCGCATTCAATCTTCGAGTCTTTGCAAATGGTCAGTCCATGAAATTATTTTACGTACTTATAGATTAGTCGCAATCCGTTATCTACATGACACACTACCGTCGAATATCCAAAGTGTTTTTCACATTCTTCCGAAAGCGATCGAAGACAGTGACGACGAAGTTAGAAAACTGATGGTTGAAATGTGCTCTACCTTGCTCACAACGAAAGAATACGCAGCTGACACAGCAGTAGAACTGCAGGAATGGATAGAGGTAATATTCAAGACATATGTTAGCCGTATGCCATTAACATGTATTACTTTTGGTGAACAAGCGGTCTACAGATTGAGAACACAATTCTCTGCGCAGAGCTTTTTGTTGCAGTCTTGCTCATTCAGGGTTATCTTCATTCAGACTAGCTTTTTTCTTCGTGGATAACAGTAGTATTGATTTATAGGTGAAGTAAATTCAGATTTTAACCTTCGACGTGCACTTCCATCACGTGACAAACCATCGGTTCACTTAAGATTCTTGTAACGATGTTCTACCCACAGTGCGCTTGACATGAAATTGAGCGTGAAATTCAGTTTCTAAGGCTTCTTATAGCTCCTTTGTCGTTCAGACGCATCTTGTGTCTTTCCAACCTGATTTTCGATGTCTTGTTGTACCTGATGTTTTACTGCAAACACAATGTTAACTTTATATTTGCTGCCTACTATAATTTTCTACGGCAGGGTATGATGTGAAATACAACCAAAACAATGCTGAGATATTCGCAAAACTTGGACCCCGTGCCAGATCGAACCACGATTACCCTTATCGAAGACTCACGTATTGCACACTGGACCACTGAGTCCATTACTTTGCGTTTCCCTCAGCTAGTTTTATGCCTAACGCTGCCATGAGCAATCACCCGTTAGCGTTAGATAGGAAACTTGCTGAGAAAAACGCAGAGCAAGGGCCTTATTCTATGTTCTCTTTACTGCACCTTGTATTAAACTCAGACTACACGTTTTCTTCTGCTCAGCTCTGGAGCAAGATCGTTCGTTGTTCTAACCTTTCAATCAAAATACACGTAGCTGATGTATTTGGAATTATCGATTTCGTTGAATGCATAATCAGAAACGAAACTCGCTCATAAACATCAACGAATTAAGACAGTCAAACACCATAATGTTCAAATACCATTATGCGCTTAAGAAATCGGCTGGCATTCGTTCCGTCTCTTTAATGCTGGTGGTGTAAGAACGATTTCGAGGAAGTGAAGGTGTTGCATAGATCACACATCGGGAACCTCGCTCCATTGCTAGCTTCTTTTAGTTTTCATATAAGGTTCATAATAGTGGTTTTGGTAAATTTGTGCGAGATGATATCTCGCTGCAGAACCGTTCTCTTTGTGTTAATGTTGTCTTTTCTATGTTAAAACCACCGTCTTCGTATTAATTTATATGTTCATTAATTCTCTATATGATTGAGCCGGCACGAGTTAGGTATAAAATTCTTTCCTTGGCTAACGTTTCGGCGCATCCGCCTTTTTTAGAGTTGCTTTGGTCCAAGGCGATTGTCCCAACCTGATGGTTGTTGCGATGTAGGTGTTCGTAGTCACTTCGAATCCAATCCAATAGAGAGAGCAACGCTCGAATGGTTAACTTCACACAGGAGCGCCCTTTTGTACAGAACGGGTGTTGGTAAATTGACATCCAATATATTCTGATTATGGGCGCGTGTAGGGCAGTCGATAGAGGCTCTCTGCAACACCCATGGATTCAATCCTGCGCTCCAGGCTTACCAAGTCTTGCACCCTTCTGTGATCGGCAAACTAGTACCAGACCTGTCTAGGAGGATAGCAGCATTAATTCGATACATCGGTGTGCAACCGCCAGTCAGCGTATAGGTCATACTGTATTCAGTCATCTCTACCGACGCTTGATGAAATCGAATGCCCGACTCATTCCTCTAGGACTGATGAAGCCGACAGATTTTACAGTTTTTGTAATCTGATTCTTAACGAGCAGTGTGTCCGGTAGCAGTTGGTACTTTATCTAAGGTATTGTCACGCTACGTGCTAGCAAATGAAGTACCAACTGGCGTAAAAGGGAACTACCGAGTGAAATTCCCCATTGGAGTGGTGCTCCTTTTTCTGGATTCGATTGGGTGCGACTACGAGCATCCACATCGCAACAACCTTGGACCATCGACTCCAATGGAGCGTGCTCTGAAGAAGGCGAAGGCGCCAAAACGTTAACCAAATAAATGTTTTTTATACCAACATCGTGTGATTTTACACATATAGAAAATTACTGATTGTTCTTACCGAGATTTAATGAAGGTCGGTTTTAAGGTAATGTGAACATTGTTGTAGAGTGGTGAGATTTTGGTTGTGAAACTGCAGTCTAGCTGATGAAGGGTCTTAGTGTATTGCGTAAGGATACCCTGATTCTCCTTGTATTTCATAACTGCTTATTTCCTATCTTAGTTGATGGCCTTTTTTAACTCTATAAACGTGGGATGTGGTCCGTGGTATTGAATTCATTTGCAAACTCTGCTTGACTGCGTGTTTATCCATCGTCCACATTCTGTCAGTCTTACTGAGAATGTCTCAAGCGAAGGTTTCATATAAAAAGTAAACAGGCAGTTTGGATGATTGTTGTCGACACATTACATCTTGGCAGGTTACGTAAGAAGAATAGCAGAGGCAATGTGTTGATGAGAACTAGAGGCAACTTTTTTCGGTGTTTTCGACAGCAGTATCTTCCCAAAAGCGAACTAAAGATTTGAAAACGTCACAATTTGCGATGACTTAATAATTTTGTTTCCTGAATTTCGCGGGTTTCTCTCCTTTGAGTAAAAAAGGATCTTGCATGAACGAAGAGATGATATGTTCCCGTATGTTTCCGTGGAGTACATTTGGTACAAAGCGATATCGTTAATATTGCGTTATGGTACTTTCCAGTGGGCTCCGATCTGCAACATTAAGCGATGACCTTTTAGAATTGTGAGTTTTCATGAATGGTTTTGTCGTTAATAAGCTCAACTGCTCGCTTTTCCATTCCATTAATTAAATTACAATGTGAACATCTTCGATATTCTCCTAAGACGACCAATTTCAGTGGTGAAGTTGCCAGCGATGATCTTATCCCAGTCCACATAAAACTTCTTCAAGTCCATACATAGTTCTTCGACCTCGCCAACATCATAGCTTTATGATGAGATTACACGACGGATATTTTCAATCCTGGGTTTAGTCTTCATCTTTTCAATATAAATGTCCGACTCTGTAAATGTCTGCTACTTTGATGTTCATAGCCAGTTTTATGATAACAACAGTATCAATTTAGCCTATTTCTTTGTCACTGCACGCTCCAAGAAACACTTCTATCTTATCATAAACGGTATTTAATGTGCGCTGTCTTCTAGCCTAACGTCGTACTTGTGACGTTGTACTTGTCATAGCCGTAATCGTCTAATTCCCAACGGAAGACCTATGCTGACCTTCTAAGTACAGATTGGCATCACAGTTTCCTTATATTACGAACTCCAGAATAGCTCTCAGATTTTCAGCTTTTCTGTACTACTTAGCGGTGCATACCTAGAGCTCTTTCACATTTAAGGGAGTGAGGTTTGCTTACCGTTTTTCAAGTGCACCCAACAACTCACGCATGAATGTCTACGAGCGTATTTCAATCCGGTACAGCAGACTGAAGGAGTGTATGAATCAGCCTGCGTCTGAAGACATTTACAGAACAGTTTTGGTCGTACAGCTCCCTATTTCCACGTAAAGATGCGTAACATAGCTTTGCGACTAGCCCGCTGAAAATCTTGCTGTGAGGAAGATCCATGATGATTCAACTTCCGACGACGTCAGAAAAGCGAAAATAACGTATTTACTGAAACAGTTCCCATATTTAAAAGGACGATTTTGTACAAACCTCTGCATTATAAAGGATTTCTCTATTAAGTACACAATTCTCGATCCACGATCCATCAACACGGGAATCTACCTTCGCGTACGTTGATACAATAAGGAGCCAAACAATTTAGAGGGGTGTTGGCGATCGTGACAAGTCGTTGGGAGGCGAATGGGAGTGCTAAGGGCCGTGGCTACATCCAATCGAATGGCGTCTGTCGCAGGGTCAAGGCACGAGTCACAAGGTCTAGTCCTTAACCAATGAGTCGTACCTGGTAGCATGCCTGGTGGCGTACCTGATCGTCAAGATGGGATGTGAATGTAGGGCACGGACGCGGGCGTTGTAGCAAATGTTTTATTATGCAATAGGTTACACACAGTTGCGAAAAGTGTTCCCTATCGACTTATGAAATATATTTGTTAGGTAGATAGAGAATTCTCTATTTGATAGAGAAGTTCTCTATATGCATTAATATTCGGCAAATGTACGTATAAGCTTATGAACTGCAATTGTTGAGCCGACGCGAGTGTAGCATCGTTGTTGTACCTTAGAGGTTTTGAAACCTATCCACAGCACTTCAAGAGTTATGCGCGTTAATGTTTCTGATTCCTGAGCTAAAATCTAGACAGTCGTTTCGGAAACATCTCCATTGTACTTTCTGCCCTATATGTACCTAGAGAAGTGCTTTGTCGAATTTAAATTTTTCCATCTAGATGTTCTTTTATGCGGACATAGAGTGTTCTGCCCGTTTCCTCAATTCATTCTTCACCGCATGCCTTACATGAGATTAAGTATATTGTGCCTAAACTTATATAATCCCAATCCCTGCCGTTAGCACAGATTACACAATTTTCTGAGATGCACAAACGATCATAGAGAACTGGCGGTTGAGAACTAATCGATGGCATAGGATATTGGGTGAGAGCTCCATAGCCACCACTTTACTTCCAAGACCATTTTTTTAGGTACCTCTTAATGACGCAACTTATTTCGTTTAATATGAACGATTGCTTAAAAGGATTTTATTAACATTTGAAAGATTATTTTGGTAAATAACCCTATATTTTGGTTTGATCCGAATGACATCTGCTTCCCACTCTTTGGAATTTCTTCTTCTCCTGTCTGATGAGTGGTTTTTCCACGTGTGCAGGATCAGAGGAGAGGGATTGTGCTAGTATATTTTTGCTACCTGGTTTTCAATACCTTTTTGTGATCTAACTCTTTCTGAAAGCTTTATTTGGATGTTTAGTAATGGAAGCCAGTTTTCGGTTGGTTTTTCTTGCGTAAATTTTATATACTCTAACTGCCATTTAACAATCAAAAGCGCTTGTCCATCAGTTCTTGTGTGAAACAGACGATGAGGCAGTCATCTATGTATCGACAGTAGAGTAAGAGTCGATGATTGGAAACTGGGGCTTCTGCCGTAGATATAACGGCGGTGGCAGAGCTTGGTGCTAATCACTGTCTCTTGGCCAATTTTCTCATTTGTGGAAAATGTCCTTCCGAACACCTGAAGATGGAACAACTAAGGCACTATTTAAAAAGAGTCATTAGCTGTTGAGTCGACAAGCCATACGTGTCTACTCTCTCTTCATTTTTTGCGTGCGGCTTGAGAACGGCTTGCATTGTGCAGTCATTTGATGCGTTAGTATACCTTTACCTATGTGGGTTTCATTTGTCGTCGTACCACGTGAACAACACACGGATTGCTCCAAATCTAACAAAACGTTGAATAGTTTCTAAGCAAAGTGACTTTTATTTATATGTAAGGTCTTCATTAGTACTATAGGTAATTCACTGAATTATATGGATATTATTGCATAAAAAGACTAAAAAAAGACGAAGTCGCCGAAACGTCGGCAACCGAATCACAACAACAATAACTACTACCGACAGCAGTTCTGCTCAACATTGACACTTCATGGGAATTTCCAAATTCTTGAATTTCTTTCAAAATAGTAGTGATTTTTTTCAGGACCCCGAAATTGGAGCGGCTGTTCGCACTGTACTGGGGGAGTCTCCATTTGAGCAACGGAACCCCGTAGAGCATATCCTAACGGATATGATGAATGCGTTACGTCTACATTTCAATGACACGATAGACTGCTATTGAAGGTACGTTGTCAAAGGAAGGGACGTTCAACCATTTGCGAGCTTAATAAGTAGGGTTATTATTTGGTAAAGGATTGTAACATATGGTAAACATATACTGTGCTCTCAAGTCGGATTTTCTGTATTGACTCCAAGATGTCCGCTGAATATTCTAGATACAACTCGTATGAAATGCTGAGATATTTGCAAAACTCCGGACCACAGGTGTATGCAGTGGAGAAGGAACACGCGCTGTTGTCCTTACCTGGGAGCACGCGCTGTTGTCCTTACCTGGGAGCAGCGCGTGTTCGTTCTCCACTGCATACACCTGTGGTCCGGAGTTTTACAAATATCTCAGCATTTCATACGAGTTATATTTCGCAACATAACCTGCCATTAAGAAGAAAAAGGCAGTAAGTAAAAGAGTTAAGATTCTAGATACAGTTCAGTTAAACAGAATTCGCCGCTAAGTTCCTTTTTCTTCTTATCAAGAATGTTGGACTAATTTGTCGATATTATATTGCTATTTTCTGTTCTTATACTGTTTATGCAATCATACCCGATGCAATTTGACGACAATTCTGGATTATTTGCTTCTGAGAACTTAGTCGTGGTGAAAATCCACTTTTTGAGATGAGTAGCCTCAAAAACAAAACAAAAAGAAGTTGATAGTAAACAAGGAATGTTTACGATCAGTCGGTTCTTCATCAAAATTCTAAGTTTTCGCGATAGGTTTTAACAAAGTTGTCATCCTCTTTCAGATATGTTGCTGCGCATCCGATTTGAATTTGTCTCCGCTGCCAGGGAATCACTTCAGTTTGGTTTACTGAGGCGCGTCTTTACCTCAGTATGAAGTATTTTTCTGAAACCTCTATCTGGGTAATAAAACGTTTCATGAAATAGCGGGTCACAAAATTTTTGAGGAGAAAAAAGCTGTAGAATAGAATAATTGGCAGAGCATTTTTCCAAAGACAAAGATGGTAGGCCAGTTGATTGCACTTCTCGTCGAAGAATTAGTAGCTGTTCGCTGGTGACTTCACCGGTGGTATGAAAATGTTTTGAAAAGTCTTTTTTTAAAATATTGATGGTATTGCAACCGGTATAATAGAGAACGAAGTAATGTTCATAGAAATTACAATGATGCTGAAATATTTGCAACTCCCGACCGCAAATGTCAATGGCGTGATTCCAACGTCGTTATTATACTTTCCGGGGGCTAACGTATTCACCACCTCACTATGCGCAT